TGTTTCAACAGAATCTCTGAAAGGGAACTAGAGAGAAAGAGAAAAACGAAGAGTAGAAATGTGGAAGAGAAAAATAGCCAAAAACTAACACTAAACATCTAAATCAAAGACTATAATATACAAAAGGGGGCGCTCCAAAGATACACTCAGACTGATTCCAACTGATGAGAACCTCTTTAATGACCTCCCCTAACATCAATTTTGTTCGTCTACACATCTCATATCGCGTGTCGACGTCGGCATCCACTTCAGCCAATGCAAAACGTGGCTTGCAGAATGAAGTGCCCCCGTTCGAGTTGCGCAAAACCTGACAGCCACGCATGGTCGATGAAGTGAAATGACAGCATGACGCACAAGGCACCCATGAAAATCACGCACTGCGCACGAAAAATCTGTTCGGCACAAAAAAGTTTATCAAATCATATGCATACTAAATATTTGAAAATAAGTTTTGAGCAGAATTTACTATTTTCCTTTATCAATAAATCAATAAATACGATAGTCTTGCATATATGCAGCTGTCTCGTGACTAAAGGTTAGTGCGAGAAAGATGAAATACCCGATAATATCTATGAAGCATTCTCTATCACATGTTTATCGGACTCTATCGAAGGTCAAGTGATCTGAGTCACGAGTCTRCCGAGCGATTTCGTCATTGACAAATTTGTCGGTCCRATACATATCCGACATGTCACAAACGAGGCTGTTTCACTGCAGTTCACTCAGGAAGCACGTCAATAAGCCTCGACTTCAAGAGAAATGTTCGTCAAAGAAATGCAACAAGTGCTTTGATTGGTTGGGATGGGATTGTACTGCAGAACGTGTCAAGAGCTTTAGGATATCGGAAAGCTCAAAAACAAAAATGTTACACCCTTTGGCTCTAGGTGATGATTACGTTAATCTATCTGGTCAGGTACCAGTTATAGACTTTTTAAACATAAAGTTTGTTTTGTTTMTATTTTCTGACTTTGACTCATTGTGTTCAATAAGATTATATAATTTTAAGTTGCATTTATGACTTATATAGCGTGCGATTCAATGATAGGACTACACCACAGTTCCCAAGGGTGTAATATTTGGGACCTAGCTGTAAACCAGTTGTTGTTATGGAAGYTACTTTATCAGTTCTAAAAGATTATAACACTGTATTATTTCAGCCGATTGCGTCTCGCCAGCTTATCCTTTCAGTGCATCTATCTGATATTGTTCAAAGACATGTCTATACGCACGGCTATGGTTCCATGGGTTGTTTTTGCAGAGAGGYGCAAAGCATGGTAGWGATACTCCGCTGTCAAAGTTGTCAAAGAAGCCGTTGAACCTCGACAAAAGCAAACAAAAATGACTTTCAAATCCTAAAATCCTAATACCATTAAAAGCTTAGCTATGCGATGCGCGTTTGAACAGTGAAATCTTGTCATGGGATCATCAAWGTACAAGTAAAAATTTGTACAATATTAAAATCCTTTGGCCGGCCTCGCTTAATGGAACTTGACACGCTACTTGCAATATACATTTTAAGTGCTTTTTAATATATTTTTTAGGCCTATAAGGAGAATTTGAGCAATTAATCCGAAAAAATTATCAATTTGAGTTTTTTTCAAAAGGCAATCAATATGCGAATAYATAGCAAACATGTCCGGCAACTGGTTAATTTGAAGTCCCCTGTAGCGATGGTGTGATAGTCATCCCATGCAGGTAGCGAAAAAGAACTAATCGAAACTCGTCATCTCGGTAGGCTAAACCGCATGACAGGCCTCGTTCTCCAAAAGAAGAATCGGCCAACCACAGTCTTGCACAGTAAGATATCAGTCTTTCTCAGCAATAAAGATCGATTGAGTATATGGAAACACTTAACTATACAAGAAAATTAACTAGCTATTGCTATCGTTTGGTCATACTGTATAAGTTGCTACTGTTTGAATAGAAATTTGTGCACCCCTCCTGACTTTGAAAGAGATCGATGATGGTCRCTTTATTGCKCTCTTAAGCATTTGACTGCCGTTATGGACTTTAACTGTTGRTTATAAATGAGCTCTATGTCTTTTTCGAGTGGGCGTATCAATCCATTCAAAGCCGTTCCGAAATAATTATTTTGCGGCTTCTATAAAAAGAATTGAGAACAAAGGGTGAGCCCCTCCCCCCTCAGGTTTCGAATATATGGATCCTTCGATCAATCCTGTAGCGTAGGAACTACATACTGAATAAAAATGAGAGTTTTGAAATATCGCACTCGTTCGATTGCTTAATTATAAATCTCACTTTTTTAGAACATAATGATATGACAACAAACTGTCAAATTGAGATTGGAAAGCAAAATCAGATGAAAATGCTTATTTTATGAGAGCATGGTCAAGGGGAAGGAATATTGAGATTAAAACTGATAAATGGAATTGAAGTTGCTTGGCTTTGACTCTTGGAAATCAAGATGCCGGATCTTAATCGCTGGGATTGAGASTTATGCTAAACAATTAAAAAATGGGAAGATAGAATTGGGCGCACTATGGAACTCAGGGATATTGTCCTCTTTTGACTGATTGGGCAAAATGCAACCGCCGGGATAAACTCGTTCATGATAACACCAAATCATCACAAGCCATTTGACAGMTGATGACATGTTACTAGCTCAGAGTAGGTAATCGCTTTGGCTGACACGATCCCTTTTTTTTAATCGCCTTCTGCCAATTTCAATTCACAATATTCTTTTTGAATAAATGACGATTTACTAAGTTTTGTTAAATAGTTAATATCACTACCGGCGCAATCTTTTACTTTAGACTAATAGGCTTTGGTCTAGACTTAGTGAAAATATATATTGCATCTGTTAATTCAAATGCCTAAAACGATTTAAARCCCTTTTTTCCGTCGCCAAGAAAACCTCGACGCGGCATCACGAACTCTAGTTCTCAGAATTGTACAGCTCAAAATTCTTAAAAAATGTCAATGCATTATAATATTTTATTATTTACAATGAAGAGTAATTGCACAGAAAAGTAGCTCAATGAAGAAGATGATCTTTCGTRGGCAAGCCGCGCACTGCCAACTTCGCCTCGTTTTGATGCGCGCGCGAGTAGTGAAAGTGCACAAGTGATATTCATTTGTAAATTAAAAGCATCCTTCAATCCTTGATTGAAAAGAAAAACATATACACAGAAAATAAAAATAAGCGCTTTAGGGRGAAGATTGAAGTGTGTCATTATCATGGAAACTAAATGATTAAAAYCTATCGCTAGTCGGCCACACTATTATTAGGAGTGTATCAGACAAAGTCCTCTTTTTAAATGTTTTGATAATAAAGSCTCTTTAGTAAAAATCTTTAAGTGTTTTGAGGGGATAAAAAAAACAGAGTGTTCCTTATTTGGAGCACGTGTTAAATAAGGACACATGCCATTAAATTCACCCGTCACGAGGCTACGAAAGGAAACAAAGCAAATTCAACATTACGATATACAGTAAACCTGAAAATCTTGTTTTCCGGATGACAAATGATGACATTGCGCACGCTCAGTGCGATTTGATTGACAAGTAATGACAGGTAGCCTATGACAATTTCAGATTGTAGACTCGTCTGCATGTTCATAGCCTCGTCTCGGTGTTTTTAGCTGACAAATTCTTCCTGCTCCCTCCCCCGGACGAGTGTTTTTGTTCCATGCATGCGCATTGATAGAGCGAGGCCGTTGACTTGAGGACCAAAGTTTTCATCTATTTACTTGTGTTCTCCTTGGTTGGACCGCCATTTTTAACTGACTCGAGGAATTAAGTTCAAGATTTTTGGCTTACCTGTTCAGGGAAGCTGTCAGGCTCCCTGGCTCTTCTTCTTCGGCTTCTGGCTTTTGATTTTTGTGTTAAAATCCAAGTTGAATCTTGTGTGGTAGGCCAAATCTGCCTTACGTGAATGGCAAATTTCTAATTAGTTGGCCGTGAATTTGTTTATAGCAATGGACGGCCTTTTCTTGTTTGGTCTTCGTCTTCCCAGAAGAATAGCGGGAGTGAAGTGGAAATTCATTTTCTAGTTTGAATCATCGTTGGTCGCTGTAAGAGTTGTCTTTTTGGCACTCTAAAAGATGTAGAATCGATTTAACTAAGAAGTGCTCACTTTCCTGTGTCGTACACAGTACTTTTCAATGGCGCCAACGTAACTGAAATACTAAAAGACTTGCCATTAGATCATGGAAATTCAAAGCGAGAAGGAGGTTAAAGAGGAGAAAGTAAAAGAGGAGAAAAAGCAAGTAAAATTTGCTGTGACTCCGGCAGAAGAAGTAGGGTCTGTGAGCAATGGCAGTTCGTATCAACCCACGGTTGTAGATGGATCTGTGACTGTAGGCAAAACAGGTCGAGAACGTGAGAGAACAAATGAACTCGACGAAGCAGAGGAAAAGGCAGTTAGTCAAAGTGCCGATGGACGCTTTCTAAAGTTTGATAGTGAGCTGGGAAGAGGATCATTCAAGACGGTCTACAAGGGTTTGGATACAGAAACTGGAGTAGCAGTAGCGTGGTGCGAACTCCAGGTTTGTTTTTCTATTGAAACTTGACTTGAAGTTCATCTTTGTTTRAAAAATATTTGCTCAAATCCTTTATTTCTCACATTATTCCAAAGCCTAATTATCGTGTTAGTTAAATTTAATTCTATCTTCAAGGATAAATATACCAAATCGGAGCGAGCTAGGTTCAGAGAGGAGGCAGAGATGTTAAAGCAACTTCAAAACCCGAACATCGTGAAGTTCCACGATTTTTGGGAAACCAGGTCGACGAGTAAAGAGAAGAAAAAAGTCATATTGATAACTGAACTGATGACTTCGGGAACACTGAAAACGTAAGTTTGAAGAAATCGTATTTTTTTCTTGATATGGACGTGTTCTCGATACAATTCGAGGTGCTAAAGGATGTGACGAAATCGTCTAGTTATTTCTTAACCCGCGAATCAAAAGTGAACAACAAAAAACCCATAGGAATCACACATAAAGATTAATCTGTATTTCAGGTTATAGAGGTATGYATTGTTTTGTTTTTGGCCAGGAAATGAGAGAAATATTCAGACAGAGCTCGGAGGAATTTGCCATGTTTCAAAGTTCATCTCTGCAAATGAGATTTCTTGTTACTGATGCACCTAGTTGAGAACCGTTGAGTGAATTTTTAATGTTTTTTGTTGGTAAATCTTTAATTRTAGACTTTGTTAGGCAACTACTAGCTACAATCAACTCAATCGTATTTGGTTTGGGTACATTTTGCCTCGAACTTTGTGGTAAACCCAAATTTCGAAATTGCGACGGAAGTGAAATCGACATATCTTCCGTTTTGGGATAGATTTCCTGACTATCCCACAACAACGCTGCGAATGTTTTCACAGAATACCGAAAATTATTAGCTCATGATTTTTGCAGTACCTTCTTTTGTTGAAATAAAGTGACTTTGTGGCTTTTGCCATCTTGTTGTCGTGTTGTTCAAATCGTATTTATCTTGTAAGTTGTTCACTGATAAACAAGAATGATGTAGTTTTATATTTACATCGGCTCGAAATAGAAAGATATTTTTGCTTCATTATTAATCGCTCATGTTCAAAAACGGCCTGTATGTTTACAGTGTGAAAAGTCTGATTAGTCAGTCTGCAATAACGTAAAGTGAATTCCTTAAAGAAATATTCATTCCTACTTCAGTAGTAGTGAAAAATTATTCTTAATTGCGAAGTTTTTGAAGTATTAAGCTTAATAACAACAGACCCGAGGGGACATTGTTGTTGGTAATTTAATTTTCTATGGAATTTGTACAACTTTTGCATATTTCGTTCACTTGACCAATATACAGAAAGGTTACATTTGCATGTTATTTCAGCTTAGCTAGGCATGAATTTAAATTTGTGAAGCTCTCATCGATTTGGTTATCAATCTTTAAGCGACTGGTTTGACTTATCTTTCATATCMTTTGCCCACTTATCCATTTTGAATGATTTAACCACGAGCAATTATACAATAGTTGCTTTCACGAATTCAGTACATGCATTATCTTCTTTCCTGCACTTTCAATTTCGATTTTCTTTGTGTATAGTTATTCCATAGAAAGATTTTGTACATTAATTCTAAGATTATTGTTCCTGCAAAGTGTGTGATATTGTCAATATTTTGTTTGCATAGAAAGATTCTTATCACATAGTCACACTGATTAAAATGTACTTGAATTTTGTCAATCTTTCTTTGAAATTTACTCGGCTATTGTGCTTTAAAAATATTACTTTGCAAGTTCATTACACATGGGTTTCTTATTCCTTCTGCATTTTCTGTGTGAATGTGATCCAAGGTTGTAGATTACTGCATTAGCATTTTACATTGAAAGTAAACATTATTTGCATTATGAGGCCTGTGATGTCAKATCTGACAAAGATTTGTTATATTATGTGTGGATGACTAAGACAGAAGAATAAGTTTCTTGCATTTATTGGAAACTCTAGATAAGAAAAATGCAAACACAAACTCCTMGACATATCGTTGGCTAAAATCCTGACCAATATTTTTAAATGGGGACACTGCCAATAATAACTGTCCCAGGACTATAGCAACAGTGCCAGTTTCTATTGAATATGTCAAATATATGTTTATTGGCATAAATTCCCCCAAAACAAATTATTAACATTTTGTACTCCAAAGTAGCAAATTCTAGTGAAAATCTATGTAGACTTTAAGATTTTTGAGTAATATTCTAGAATAAAATTGTCTAAGTCCTTCCCTATTAACTCCAAGTTACATGCATAATTGATCATTGATATGTATTGCTTGTCACTTGGGAAACCATTTTTTCCAGAAAAGTATTTCAGATTTAAAATTAGAAAATGTTGTCAGACATTTCTCTTCTTGATTTGAACTGTAAACTTTGCTAATCCTTGAAGCTTTGTCACATGTGCTGCTGCTGTTTTTACTAGGGGACATAACTGAAGGATTTCCATCATTGATTTGTTGTATTTTCACCTAAATATCAGCGAAGGGTCTTAGAAAAGATATGAAAATTGTTGTCTATAAATCGTAAATAGTGGATTGTGATTAGTCGTTGACAATACATTATACCCAAGGGAAGCTCAGTAGGTAGCAAAAACTGTTTAAAAACACCCTATTAATATTTTTTTCCATGCATCATTATAAAGATAATAACCTCTACAAACGCAGTCATATTCTTGTTTTGTTGTTGCACATTTTACAATTATAGATTAAGTAGTTGAAAGATCCAGACTTTTTGACTTTATGACTCTGCATGTTGTATTTTAATAGCCTTCTTACATTGCTTACATAATTGTAAAATGTCCTTTATAAATAATTATTGACTTTTTGTTGTGTCATGATTTTGTCTTTCCTACCTTCAAACAAAGTTTTACATAATTGTGTTTGTCATTTTTGGGATTGATCTGTGTGTAAATATTTTCATAAGGTTATGTGGAAATTATTTGTTCAGTAATGGCTTCTTCATTGGCATTAAATATCTATACATTGTAGCTAGTGATTTCAATTTCGTGTAGTTTTGAACCATTATAATAAGCTMTGCTGTTTCATTTTTGGAATATAAACACAAGAAAGAAAGTATTATTGATCTACATTACCCAAATTCAGCTAGTATGTCATTTGTACCAAAAATGTATTATTGCACTTGCATATAAAATTCTCTAAAGTATTATTTTCATCATTGTTCTCTCAAATCCTTTTATTTCTTTCCTTATTGATTTGAATATTTCTTTACAGGTATTTGAAAAGATTTAAAGGAGTCAGAGAGAAAATTCTGAAAAGTTGGTGCAARCAAATTCTAAAAGGACTTCATTTTCTCCATACACGAACTCCACCAATTATTCATCGTGATCTGAAATGTGACAATATCTTTATTAATGGKACAACAGGATTGGTCAAGATTGGTGACCTGGGACTTGCAACTCTGAAAAAGTCTTCTTTTGCCAAGAGTGTAATTGGTAAGTGCAAAACTCCTTTTGACAGATAAAGATTAAGGGTTTAAAGCTGTCATTATTCTTTGAATAACAGGAAATTATCTAGTAGTTAAGAACCTATATGGCAATTGTTTTTTMTTCTTTTATTGCATTTCAAAGCAAGAGTAGAATGTTCTAGGGTTTTRTATGATAAATTGCTTGTATAATTATCAAGTTCATGGCCTATTGGATGACAGATTGGTCAAGCTATCTTAGATACATCATTCATAGAAGAACAGGAAGGCTAAAAAAGACCACGAATAATCTATTTTGACTAATGATACTTGATTTAGTCCCCAAACATTACCTAGAAAGATCTAAGTGATATATGCTCAAATGACCTTGATTGCTGCATAATTATGTTTATCTTGATAAGACATACATTTATTATAACATTTGTTCTACAAACTTGTTAACTTGCATATTAATTTCTATGACAAAATTTGCAATAATCCCAACAATAGTTAGTAGTGACTCAAAATAAAATTCCATATGCTAAAGAAAAAACAGATCTGAATTTAGCATTAGTATATCATAATGCCTTAAATCTCTATTAAAAATTCCTGTTGCACAGTGACTATTTATTGATATTGTATATTACAATAAATGACTCCAATGTAATGAAACTAACTTGTAAGTTCTAGAAAATGAGCTTTGTTTTTATGTCTTGAACAAGCAAAAGCAGTTATCACCTTGTAACCCTCCATGCACTAAGCAAACTGCAAATATTTGGTCTTGGCTAAGAAAATATCTAAGAGTTTTTGAAAATGATAAATAGAAAATGCTTAAATATAAAGCTGTATTTGTGGTGCTTTGTTCTTCTTTTTGTACATAATAATCCCTGAGACATAAATAACTTTCCTAATTTACATGTAAATATGCTACCAGAATAGTCTATTGTGTTGCAACCTGATGCAAGAAACTTGTAAACAAGATCTTGCTAAAACACAAAATGATTGTTATAATTAAAATTGTTCACAAGTATTAAAGAATGTAGATTATTATGATACTTCAATGTTATTCTATGTTTTATCTTAATGTTAATTTGTTTTTATTTAGATTATACTATATTTGTATGCTAAGCTGCATAATTTTCAATCATTCAACTGATTCAGAATAATAATATTTGTAGTATAAATAGGTATTGAATGGTGTAGATGCTTACATTTGTTCTTTTAGTAAATACTATTTATTAGTTCCCAAATGCAGTAGACTATATCTTAACTGGTTAAAAAAACAACCAAACATTTCCACCTCAATGCCTTCAGCTATACACAAAACAAACCCCCTGTAAGTTTCTGTTTGACAATGAGGACATGGACTATTAGTCCTTTAGAAGCGAGGTTGAAAAGTGCTGAAAACAGTCAAGTTTCTTGTAGAAGTAGTTACACTATCTGAGCATAGTGCTTTTACACATAGTAACATTCCTAACATTGCATTCATTGCATTCATATTAGTTAGAACATTTGGATACAATTGAATCTTTTCAAAGTTGGTTGACTATAACAGYAGTTTGTGGTTGCTATTGAATGTTAGTTTTAGAGTCAAGTTTTATRCAGCAGTAGATTKTCATTGGTGATTTGTTTTGTTTTGCACTCAAGCAAAGCCAAATGTCAACAAGTTGAGACACAATTTATCTTTCAACACCCTTCATTTCATGGTTCTACAGTCTTTGATATTGATCATGCTGTATTYAGCATGTGTTCTAAACACTTAAACTCAACTCATTTGCAAAATCATTTCACTCCTCTTTGTGTTTAGGTTGAATTCCCTTACAAAAGAAATTTGTGTTTATTAGAAATTTGCATATTACAYGACATCTACATGACAAGGATTGTTCCAGCAATAACAGTCCCTTTATTTCTCTCTCGTTTGCTAAGAAAGTATATTAATTATTATGGTAATTAAGAAATATTAAACTATCATTAATTAGATTTAAAGTTTTATTTTCATACATTGTACAAATATTACTTTGTCAGTTGGAGAAGGTGCTAGATTAGATAAATTGTTTATTTATTCTTGACTTTTGCCAAGGACACAGCATGGCACTTAACATAATAWATTTTTTTGCTGTYATTTTGCTATGTTAGGGGACACCATTCTTGTGTTAACCAAATTTTCAWKAGTCAAATCTTGACTTACAAACAAACTCTAAAAACTAACTGTTTTCAATTTCTGAAAGTTTGAAAYCAAATRCTTCAGTAGCTAACAGAAATTGAGCACTATAAGAATTTTGAATAAATATACACAAAAGTTAGCAAGTACTTTAACCCAACAATTGATATTAAATTTACTGCAGAAATGCTGTTATCTTGTGAGCGTTTCTTACTAATACTAATGGTATATGCCTTGAAATATTAGTACATTTTGAAAAAAAGTTAAAATTTGTTTAACGCTGATAATAATAATGATAAAAGTAATATGTTGTTTAGAATAAAGTTGTTTTGTCATTTACTAAGTCTAACTTTTGTATTATAAACTTTACAAAAAGATATTACGTGATCAGTCCAGACAAAACTTTACAACTACATTTAGCACCAGCCAGACAAAACTTCACAACTACATTAAGCACCAGCCAGACAAAACTTCACAACTATATTTAACACTAGACTGCTATCTGTCAACTAAAGTGCTTTTGCGTCAAACCACCAATTTGTTTGAAAACTTTTATTCACTGCAGTCTATCTCTAATTGCAGTTTGTGATTTTTGAAAACATTTTCGATAATTTTAAAAGTTACATTTAATTTTATTATCGCTATGTAAAAAGTGTTTGAAAAACCCTTTTAAGGAATCCCTATTAAAGTTTATTTTGATTATTATAACTTGACATATTTAATGTATAGGTACACCTGAGTTCATGGCACCAGAGATGTACGAAGAGCACTACGATGAGTCAGTTGATGTGTATGCATTTGGCATGTGTATGCTCGAAATGATAACATTGGAGTACCCTTATATGGAATGTCAAAACCCTGCTCAGATCTACCGTCGAGTCACTAGTGTAAGTATGACCGTACATGAACTCACATTATTTTATTATTACAGTGGATTCTCATTAATTTGGTCATCAAATGGACGTTTAAAAGTGGCTTTATAAATTTTTTTATGTACATGTATAATGCGCGCTCTGATTGGCTGACGACTTTGTTGATATCGGAGGACAGAGACCAACTTACCAGCAAAATCTGTTTTTTGTTCGGAAAACACAGACAAATTTTATAAGTATAAAACAGCTGTTTGTGTCTGTCCTCTCATATGAACACGGTGGGAATTGATAAGCACTCGAGAAGCAAGAGAAGCACTCGCTACACTCGTGTTTCTATGCTTGCTTCTCTCATGTTTTCAACTCCAACTGTGTTTATATCAGAGTACAGAGACACGCTCCATTTTATTTATTTTTTAATTATTAACTGGGTAGTTGTATTACTTGAGTAGAATAGGATTGTATAAGGGGTTTAATTGGCTGAGACATAAAAAGCTTGCTGTTATAATGGGTGACTATATTGAGCGAGTTGGCCATAGGTTGGGTTCCCCTACAGCATTTCAAATTAAGATTGTTGTTGCTGTTGTTGCGGCATTAAAATAAAGTAATAATGCTTTTATCTGAACATTGATATAGGGTATTAAGCCTGAATGCTTGGAAAAAGTGTCATCAAAGGATGTGAGAGAGATAATTGATGGATGTACTCACCCTAAAAAGGAATTAAGGTRAKAATCTTGAGAGKTYACCAAATGAACACCACCCTCACCCCTACTTCCATCCACATTCATGGCTAAAGCACTATCATTTATAAATCAGATATACAATACCAGACCTTCTTTCACATCCCTTCTTCCAAGAAGATAGTGGAGTAAAAGTTGAAGTCTCTGGCTCWGACACTGAATTAGTAGAGGGYAACCTYATCAAGCTMCAACTGCATTTGCAAGACCCCAAGAAACGCAAGGAGAAGCACAAAGAAAATGAGGCAATTCAGTTTGATTTTCACCTCGGAAAAGATGARCCCATCCAAGTTGCTGCTGAGATGGTGAGTCCATAGGATCTTKTTASTCCCCCCTAACATTGCTTGCTTAGTTGCTAGGGATTTTAGGTTGAAAGAAGGTCACAATATCATCTGTGCCTCTTTACCGTGGTAAGTATAGGACATCGGCAAGGGAAGAAAATCAATGGTAATATTAAGTACATTTTACAGTACTTAAGAATAATCTTCAGTGATAATTTGTTGACATTTATGCCAAAAACAAAAAGGATTTAAAATTCATTTGAAAAACTTTAAGTTTACTGCTGACAGCTTTAACACTGAAGAAGATCCTTGAACATTGTAAATGTGACTTATTAATTTACCCATTGTCAAAGTATTGCTCTAAAACAATAATTATTTGTATGTATTTAAGCAATCTAAGGACATAAGAGTCAGATTCAAATGAAGGTACCTTGAGTGCATTTATTGTAAGAAAACTTTCCACAAGAACAACTTCTGATCWTAGCATTTTAATGAACAATGGACATAGGTTGAAATATGGTTTACAAGACACTTGAGAGTCAGGTTGAAAGTATGGATTGTTAACAAGGCAAWTGACGTGATGAGGGGTTKATAAACATGAGTATTATGAACATTAAACTCATCAAGCAGAGCGCTGAATCAAGGTAATGTCTCACCACAGTTTGATTGACATAACTCAAGGTAAAGTTAAAAAAACATTGTGTTTTTAATCTAAATATCATGTCTTTTGTGTTAAGAAAAAATGGCATCTTTTATAAAATCAATTTTATTCAAATGGCACATGATGCTAAGCATGTCTATGAAAAAAAAAAAAAGATTTGAAGTTATATCTTCACATCAAAAAGCATTTGAAATTTGACATGCATCGTCAAAAGATTAGGTACATTCTCACATGGAAAATCTTGTCCGAAAATATTATCATACATTATAATATTAAAAATATTGATTTATTCATTGTTATCAATTAATTCTCACATGTTTTTCTCTTTTTCTCCCCAACAGTGAATGTTACAATTACTAATGTGTTGTTTTCTGTTTGTGTGCATGACAATATCATTTTATTTCYKCAATSCCATCTGCATTTTTAGTCAACCCCTTCACATAGAAGACAAAATTGCATTCATGAARTAAAMTTCTGTACTAAACAGTCTAAGTGTGACAATTTTCTTACAAAAGTCAGTGTATATTGCACTTTTTTTAGCACAGCAAAGTAATATATATAGAATTTATTTTTGTACATCAGTTTTCAGTTTTTGAATGCACTTATAGGAGATTAATATGGCCGAAAACATTCAATAGGCACAATATGGAGAACATAAGAGAAGCAGGCTTAGAAAGAAGATAACATGGAAGTGTTTCCCTTGCTTTTTGAGTGCTCTTCACCTCCTGCTATTTCTGTTTGTTAGATTGAGACATCTTATTATTTTTTATAATAAACATAAAAAATTCTGTTCAGTAATTGATTGATGACTTGGTTTATTWAAACCAGGACCCATTTATGATAATTAAAAAGAAAAAATGAAACATTTTTTAATTTAAATGAATATCCTATATAATAATATTTTTTTAATTTTTCCTCGTTTTAGAATGAGATTTTAAGTTTGTTTATAACATGATGAATGATTCAAGAATTTTGTTGATGATTTATTTTGTCTGAAACCTTTCTTTATCAAAATAGTTTTGTCTTGGGGTAAAGATTAAGGATGTTTTGTCATYTTTTATTATTTTTGCCACTTATCGATATGTCTATTTTAATATATAATTTTAATCATSAACACAATCTGTTTTCGGCTTGTAMGGATTATTATTTAATGTCCAGTGAATAGAWTTTTCGAAATGTTTTTCTTGCATGTGGTAGGGAAATTGAAATTAACYCAAGTTTATTWTGGTATATTTTATCTTTTCATGAGTTTTTAATTGCAAAAGGGGACTGTTTTTATGATTTATTCAGAATCTTACTTCATGAATGCAATGTTTGTCATCTATTACATTCTCTCTTGTAGTTCTTGTTTCTAAGGGAACCTCTCTTGATTAGCAAATACACCTTTTATTGCAAAATAATAATTACCTTCTGTTTGCAGAATATGTTCAAATCTTTGCCTTAGACGGTTTGTCATTAAGATGTAGTCCAATCTTTTACTTTAATGTTCATTATTTTGGTATTTCTAAGTATTTTTTGGCAATTATTGAACTCATCCTCTTTATTTTCAAAGYAATATTGGTTTTTCTTGCTGAGAGGAATTTTTCATTTGTTGATTAATTAAATTGATTGCTGTATTCAAGAAAGGTTTCCCATGAAACAAGAACTCAATTAATATTTCTTTGTCATGTCAAATAAATTCTCCTTATTTTTTATTTAAATAATTCAATATCATTCATCCCAAAAAATTCAACTTGATGATCATTTTGATTCTCCTTAAAATCACTATAATTTTAGTTAAAAATGGCAGAATATAATTGTTGACCATGGAGCATATATAAGTAACTTGTGATCAAAATCAAAATTCTCCTTTTATCTGAAGAGAAATGTAATGAGAATTTAGTTTTGATCACAGGTCACTGTTGTCGTTGAGATGAGCTGTCACAGAGTATAATACAGCTTGTATGAGCAGTATGATTCTCCTTGATTTGTTATTTCTCTGCCCACCTAGACTTTGGCAGGCATCAGTCTAGACCAATCTATTCTACCAGTTGTCAAAGTTGTGCAAATAATGCATTGCATACTTGCAGTATAATTCAAATTCTTACAAATRCAGGTTTTCTAGAGAATTTGTATCATTTGCTTCTAGAAATGCAGATCCGTAAAATTACACTGCTAAGACTGATATCTAGTTTTTTGATTCTGTCCAGCTCATTCAACARCACTCTGTGATGCTAAAATTCAAGAAATCATAATTAAATTTGAGTATTTCATTCAACAGGTCAAAACAGGATTCATTGATGAYGAAGACCAAAAAGCTGTCTCCAAATCCATCCGCGACAGGGTTGCCTTRGTAAAGAGACTGAGAGATATGAAACGAGAAGATGGAAAAGAGGTCGCCAGCTCACAAGAAGTTCCAATTGCTGCAATATCACAGGATGTTGGCACTGAGGTCAAAGAAAATATACCTGAGAAGGAGCCAACTGTTGAAAAGGACACAAAACAGGAAGAGGAGGCATTCCACTTGCAGCCAGTCTCACGGCAAAACAGCAAYGAACCAAAAAATGTYCTTGATGTTATACAGAGAATTGAAAGTGTATCAAACAGTAGTTCACCAACTTTGGGAAATAGCCCTCATGCCACTTTGGACGAGAGAGTTTTACAAGATSTGGAAAAGGTATCAGATTTTGTGTTGTTCCTTTACATTTTCTGAACACCATTTGGTAGTATTTATGGTATGGTAGAATCTGTGTGTTTAAAACAATTGYTGACACAAATGCTTTGTTTAGAAGCCAGCTCCTAGRGTRGAAGACACGTCAAGGACTTCTCCAGTCGAATATACCACTCAGACATCATTAACATCCAAGGTACTTCCGTCAAATTACTTGTCATTAACTCCTGATTACAACAGTTGAGAGAAAGTTCAGTAGTTGAATTGAACTTGATAAACAAGTTTGGCTTGCAATGATGTTTGATTATAATAATTATTTCTTGTCTCTTAAAGCTAACATGATGATAAGGATGTATTTCTGAGCAAGACCAAACTCTTTTGAGTTTCATTTTATTTTGTGCGTTACTGTTGTTTTACATTCATTTTATTTGTTTTTCATTTTGTGCATTTTTCATTCATCCATTTTCTTTTTCTATCATTTGTTTTGTGTATTACTTTGTTGTTTTACATTTATTTTATGTTTTTCATTTTGTGCATTTTTCATTCATCCATTTTCTTTCTCTATCATTCTTCACGAACATTGAAGTTAATGATTGTGCAGTAAATAAGGTGTCTTGTCAAGGCAAAACTTAAAAACAACTTCTCAATTCTCCTTATTTTATTTTTAATACCAGGAGCCAGACTCTGCTCCACCAACGCCTGTTGACACAACATTCTCCACCTCTGAAATATCATCGGGTTATGCCTCTTCAACAACTTCCATTTCATCCATGGCATCCTTGCCAGGAAGCACAGCAGATTCTGGTSTTGGCGAAAAGATTGGAGAAAAAAAGGACAAACCTGCCAAAGGGGCCAAGAAAGAACGCTTGCCTAGAGTACAACTGAGGAAAATTGAAAAGAAAACAGAAGGACTTGTAGTGGAATGTACTTTTGATACTTATAAGTCAAACAGGATAACATTCCGATTTGATGTGAAAATTGATGACCCAGAGGATATTGCAGATAGTATGGTATGTTGGGCTGCCTGTGAGAGTGCTCAAATGAAAAATATCAGTTTATCAGAACTGTCATGATTGCCCAACCTGACTTCATAAGATCCTCATAGGCATATGACCACTTGCACCACAAAAGCATTCCCTTTTTATGACTGAATGAACAGATAAGCTAATACAATCTGTGTTTTTGTGTGTGTTTAAATGTAAAGAATCTGTATTCAGCTTGCAATGATGACTGATACTTTGTCTGAATGTATAAATGTTTACAATCATCTATACCCAAATTTCTGAGCAAGCAAGAGTCTTTATTAGTTGATTGATCTAGCCACAGTTTAATTYCTCTATTGACTAGTATATTTTCCATTATTTTTACTATAAAAGTTAGCATTTGATATTTTTCCATTTTTTTTAGATTGAAGCTGGTCATCTTCAATCTAACAACAAGGATATATTCAAGGGTTACCTAAGAAGAGTWATTTCAGAAGCACAAAAAATCTTGGAACACACTACCAGCCAGAGTGGCTCAGAAATTATCATTGACAAAGCATCTCTGGAAGGTCATTTGTCATCTGATGCCATTCCCATACAGCAACCAGCGGGCTCGCAGCCAGCACAGCAGGTAGGGTAATATTTAACTCCAATGACAATTTCAAGTTACAAARCACAAAGCACAAAATATCAGGAAAAAATAGCACAATGGTTGAATTCTAAAGCACAAMAAAACTTGGAAAATTGTGAAATTTATCTGAAGTTTATTGGGTAAAATAAACAATGCAAGAAACTACAATGTAGATATACGGACTAAAAGCCATATCATTCGCAATCAAAGCAAAAAAAACAGTGAAAACATACAATTAATGCCAGAAGAATAAAATTTTATGCCTTTTTTTCTTCATTTGAATGCARGGTTTCAACTTATTGCAATTCTCGCCTTTTTTCGCACTTAAGTCAGCAAATACCGATGGATCAGATCTGTATTTTCTTACGAGAAGCCAAGATAAAAAAACTTTTAAAACTACTGACCTTTTAAGTTTTTACAAAGTCTTTAAAATGTGTATTTTTTTGTAGGCCTCAGGCAGCCCAAAGAATAAAGAAGGCAGTTATTTGGAAAGCTTAGTATTATCTGGAGCTAAATCCTTACCAGCAGTTCCTCAAGATGGGGCAGCRCCCACAGCAAAGAATGAAACTCCTAAGATGGAGGAAACTAAGGCACAGGAACCAAAGCAAGAAATGGTTCCAGAAACTACTGACTTATCAAAACCTGTGCAAGAAGGACCCAAGTCACCTTCTGCTTCACCKAAGGCAGCTGTAYCTGTGAATAAACCTGAACCAAAAGTCACTACAGTACCTGTTDCTACAAAACAGGAGGAAGGAAGCTCTAATAAAGAGACTTTAAAGGAGATCCCTAAAGAAAAACCTAAACCAGTTGTTCTCAATCCAGCAGTTGTYCCACAAAGAACTGAAAAACCTGCTGAAAATACTGAGAGCCAAGCTCAACCTGTAGCTACTCAGCCTGAAAAGGAGAAACCCAAGCCAGTCGTGCTCAATCTGGCAGTTATTCCACAAAAGGTGGAAAAATCATCTGATAGCTCTGAGAACCAAACAGAGTCAGTTGTGACTCAGGGTGAGAAGGAGAAGCCCAAACCAGTTGTGTTAAACCCAGTTAGTATTCCTCAAAGGAAAGTAACACCGCCAGCACAGTCTCAAACTCCAACTGAAGTTGTCAAAAGATTTTTAGTGCAGAAAGTTGATGAATCTGCAATTCTTGGTCCAGTAGAACCAAAGCCTGTCGAGACAGTGCAAGAAACTGTCGAAACAAAAGTAGAAAAGAAAGATGACAGCCTCTTGGAAGAAGGGTTGAAAAAGAAGGAGGAGAAAGATTTACCAAAAGAAGAATCTATCGAGAAAAGTAATGAGAAGAAAGCAGTTGTTGTTAAAGAGTTAGATGAGGTGGCATCAGGGCTTTCGGTTCAGACACAAACTAGTTTTGACTTACCAACAGAGGAAAATTTAACAGAAAAGGAAAAATTAAAGGAATCATCTTTGTTGACCTTGCCAACTGCTGGAAATGACACTTTATTATCAAGCGAGGAGCAACATGAATTATCAGAACAAGTTGTGAAAGGAAGATTTCTTGTTCAGACAGTGGGCAGTGTATCAATGTCCAAAGAAAATACTTCAACTGTGTCAACTGTCACTACTGTTAACTCCGTTTCATCTAAAACTGTCGAGGTTACATCCAAAACTGTTGAAGTTTCATCCAAAATGGTTGAAACTTCTTCATCGTCTGTGGTGACACAGGAGGCAGCACCAAGCAGTATTAATGATATTGCACTTCAAGATAGCTTGAAGTTCATGTCTACTCCATCACTCACTCCCAGCTCATCAATGGAAAGTTTGACATCTGTATCATCGCAAACTTTTCCACTAAATAAGGACAATCAAAGCCCTCATTCATCTCAAAGTTGTATGGGTGAAGGGGCGGTCAATGTGGCCCAGTTACAAATAGCCAGCTACAAGGACAATAGAAAAGGCAGCTGGCAAAGCGACTCTTCTAGTGAGGGATTTACTCGAATTAATAATGTTWCAAAACAGACAATTGTATATTCAGACAGTGAAGGATGTCCTGGCCAAGTATATAAAGCAATGGATCAGGTATAGCTTGAAAATGATTTATAAACTGTTTATCTTAGGCCCTACATTGGTCCAGAGTTGCACTCTTGAAACAAAACTTCAAAGAAGTTGGCAGAAGGTGGCTTACGTATGAATTTGTATAGCCCAAGCTGTGAATGTCCTAAGAAAATCATTGAAAATACATTGTAATGTTGCACACACTTTTGAATGTTAACCAGTAGTTTTGTTAATTAAAGTCATGTAATGAAATGCTTATTGAAATGCTTATTATTGGTAGGACTGTGTAGGAAAATATTGGTCATTTGTAGAGATCTTGCTGTACGCTTTCCATTCAGAGTTTGAAGCCAAATATTGTCACAGATAGGTCTCCCACTAAATAAATAAGTACTAATTGTTTGTTTAATTCGTAGAAAAAGCCCCGAAATCGTTCTGTCCCATCACAAGTATCAATCGAAATAGCTGCTATCACAGCACTGGAATTATTCGCTGACGAGGAGGACGAATTCAAGAAATTACGCATAAGGTAAGACGGTAAATGTAGTATATTGTGCTGTGTATAAATCTCATTTTATTTATTCACTTTGATATGGTAGACACCGCCGAGAGCGAGAAGAATTAGATAGAAGACATGAGAAAGATTTATCAAATTTACGCAAGAAATTGGAAGCTAGGAATGCAAAGCCAAGGGCAACCTCCAATCCACAGCAACCTGGAAATAACCATTTACCAAGGCAACGAAGTAATGAAGATGTACATGACAATGTGAAAGCCAATGGATTTTCCATGGACAATCCACAGCCCAAGAAAACATTTGTAAACACTGATAAAGAAATTGAGCAGCTTGTTCAGTTTGAGAGCAAGGCTAAGAAGAAAAATGATATTAGAAGTGAAAAGAAACCTGTCACAGGAGCAGCGGAAAAAATGAGCTTGAATCAAATTAAGGAAAGTCAACAAAATTATAAAAGTAACATAGGTGGGACATTGAAAAAGGGGCCAACGCCGCCACCTCAAACGCAGTCGTCATCTCTAGCAACTACGACTAGTTTTACTGGGTCTAGAAACCCCAGTTATGGAAATATCACACAATTGCAAGGACAAAATCCAACAACAACAAATACCATAACAAACTTTCCTGTCTGGGGGGGCACTGCCACTACTCAAGACGTTATCCAATGGCAAGGTAATGTGGACAATCGCTGGGCAGCTGAAAATCAGGCATGGATGCCGTCAAACACAGCTGTACCCCAAGCAGCATTTGTGCCCATCACTACGCAAGGCTTTGTTCCAGTGGCCACAATTAGTAATCAACCATTTCAGAACCACAAAGCTCCACATAGGTAGCATTAAGTTGGTATGAAAGAATTTTTTTCAGTAATTTCGTATTTGTAGGTACATAGTTGTAACACTTGTTACACTTTATACACGGTATGACAGCCAAGGCAGCGTCAGTGGTAGCTGTATAGTTCAAGAACTGCTGTGTATTTAGATCCTTTCTTAGGACAAAAAATCATTCAATAAGGAGTGTAGATATGCAGCAAAGCGGTTAAATAACCCTGAATCTCATGTGATGAGATAATATTCTTGTAAAATGAACCTCAGAAATAGATAAACCACCATAATGTTAGCAATATTGCAAACTTACGGTTCATAAGATATAAATAAAAGGACAAAACTATCACAAGAAAAGCAAGACTTGAAATAAGGACTCTTTTTGGACTCGCGCAAAAACAAAATCTGAGGAAAAGTTCAGATTTTACATTTTCATAAAAAAATATTATTGAACACCCAAATTTGCCAAGATGTTGACAAATCTTCATGAAAAGGAAAAGTACAAGCATTCACATTATTATCTTAAAGAGTTTTAATGTTAGCAGTGGTGTTTTTTTCCAGTTTCTGAGGTTTATTTTGTAAAATATGTTGCTTGGATGAAGAAAGATAGGAGTATGACGGTGTAAGTTTGGTCTTTTTTAATTGTTCATTACCTTACCCAGCAATGGGGACTGTTTAATTCTTGGTTTTGCATTTGTATTAAATAAAGAGCATGATATAGACGGGGTGACCTACGTAGCACGCAGTTGATGTAATGTATTCATAAAATGTATTGTATTCCATTGTCTCTCGTTCTATTGTATTATGTGTTTTGTATTATATCTTTATGAATATATTACATCAACTGAGTGCTACGTAGATTCTCCCTGATATAGACCCTTGCATATGATGTCAAAGCAGTTTCATCTGGAGGACATAACATAGGAATTTTTTCCTCTTGGGAACTAGAATCCATTGTTTTATCCTCCTGTTGTTGTTTCATTTCCATGAAATGCAAGGGGTCTATACACCAGCCATATTGGAGTACATAGCAATGAAAGCTTACAAGATATCTTTTGTGGAGTGTATACTAATATGGCTGAAAAAACATGTACAAATCAAGCAATTCAGGGTATCTCTAGCCTGCATGCAGCCAAACCAAAACTGTTGTGTTTGTGCAGCCAAACGTTGAATATAACAACAGTATTCGGCTTCATGCAGGTTAGATATCTACAATGTCAAAGTTGTGTATGATACAAACAATTAGAACCACAATTTACTTGAGGTTTGGAAAGAAAGCGTAGTTATCAAGGTAGATTTCAAACATTGTTATCATCTCGGATGCCAAGTGAGCCTGAGCATTATTGAACTTGTATAGCTAGTTATTTGTATTCCCTTGCTACTGAAAAACTGTCTCACATCTTGATCAACATAATATTGGTTAAGTGAGAAAAGAGTTATCTGGATTAATGTAAAGATATGAATGTAAGGACTGCATGGCACTATGAGATACATGATATAGAAATAAARGAAGTTACAGTGCTAGGAAGGAGGTTATTTCTAAGGGTCTTTCTCCTGGAATAATCTTCCTAGCTCTGTAACTTACCTTTATTTCTATAACTGGATAAGTATTTGGAAACCAAAGGAGAATATATGCTTTTGGGAATACAAATAATGGCTATTATATTTCAAGGGTTATTGACCTCAATTTCGCACAATGATCACTRATTTTCCCATGTTGAGGGCAACCAAAACATCACTCGGGCTCATGTAAAATAACAGACCAAGATGATAAGAATGATATGAACCTGCTAACTGGTTGTCATACRAAAACATTATTCCCCCCTTAACTTTAGGGTCCATGTTTATACCTTTCAATTTACATATKAATTCTAACTTTCTGTCATAGATTTGAAAATATTCCGAACAATATCAGTTAGAGGCTCRCAGCTGACTGTAAAACAATATCCAGCAAATCCCCAAAAATAAGAATTTAATTTTATAAGAATGAATTGTTGAAGAAAAGTGGCTGGTTTATTTTTGTTATAAAGAGTAGCTATTCAAATGATAATTTATAGTGTTAGTTTTGCTAACCAAATGCAGATTTGTTTACCAAGGAGGGGTAGGGTTAGGGTACACTGCTGTCAATATCTGTAGCAAAGGYTTATRGGTCATGCCCAGTGTTCCTGTGTTTYTCAGAGAGGGGTTTGGGAGGAAGMCATTGCTGTTTTATATTTGGGAGGCTTATTAGAAATGAAAACAAAATAATGTATTATTGCAATATAAAACCTTCATGTGATCTAAACCTTTTTCTAAAATAATCACTAAAGTAACCACATATAATCACTAAAGTAACCACATATTTCTAAAGTAATCACTAAAGTAACCACATATTTCCGTGCAAAGAGTTGACTGACTATATGCGATCTGCCAATTGAAGTCTTTAGTTTGTGTGCAACCCAATCTTTGGGTATAAAATCATTTAAAAAGAACTAAATTGTGTTTTTTTTTTAAGTGAACCCCGCTAATAATTTCATGTACAAAGGTAACTTAGAACTTGTGCAGGTGTTTGCTATCTTGGAATTTAGCTATAGAATAAATAAACTAAAGCAACATAAGGGCCCTGATTTTGTGTATTCTGAGAAAAGACCTGCTCACACAGATTTCAACCTTGGGGTCCCTGTGTGAGTTGCTCGAGTGAAAGGCTTTAGTGAAGTACGAGCACATCTTTGATTTTAACAAAGGAACTAGAGAGCGTTCCGTTGATTGCCAGGGATTACTTTAAACTACATAGAATTATTTGCCATTCTTTAATTTGCGCATAGCTAGGACTGTGGTWAGGGCAATGAATGGAAGTCTTGGCAAATAAAAATGTATCTAAAAATGTGAGCTTTATCCAACTTCCCTTATCAATGTGATCAGTAATTTAAAAGACGGACGCCTAGTCAATAGAGTACAAWCATTAAATGTGTGCAACACTTTCCACTATTTACTACAAAATAGTGTTAATTAATAGAAAACAATAGAATTAGCATAATTTAGCAGTATTTAGTGGTATTTATGTTGCACAGTTTTAGTGTTTGTACTCTAACAGTAGCAATTTATAAATCTATTTCGTAATGTAGCTGTACTTAGTGCGTAAGATTGTAGTATCTTTGCCTGTAACTTACCTTGGAAAAGCATTTATTTTGCAATAGATAATTATTCTCCTAACTTGAGTTACTCTTATGTTTTAGCTAAATAAACCGCACATTCGAAACTTTCCTTTGTGTAGTTGATTTGAAAACATTTATTACTCAGGGTGGCAAATTACAGGTTACCCATAGCCCAAGCGCGCGCTCTTAGAGCGTTTATGCTCTCCATAATACTTGTTCTGTTCTTTTTCTTCTTTRCAAAGAGCGTGCTGCGAAGGASACTGCATTTATAAGGATAAATCTTTTGACCAATAAGAGTTTACTGAAGAACGWAAAAACGCTGCAACCGTAACTAAGCCGCCATTTTTGCAAGAAAAAGATAAGGCAAGAACGCGTGTCGTTACTAAAAAAATACAATCTTAACCATGTCATTCAAAATATAATACTTTTTAATAAAATAATCGCTATATACAAGTGGCATTTGTCCTATTTACAAATTATTTCAGAATTCAGTAATATYTTTKGACAATTTTCAATTCCACGGCCTCCACATTTCTCGGCACGTGTCTAAAGCTGGTAGTGACGCTGGTGGTTTRACGTCGACAGGTGAGGACTTCGAGTTTTCAAGTCCGTAATAAGACATAATATTCGTTGTGTGAACAGCGGGTTGAACTGGCATTACRTGTGGGAGAAGCTGTAACTTGGAACCAGGGAGTGTGCTTTGCATAGGAAATTGCCACGGAAATGCCGGTGCAATCAATTGCTGATGCTGTKGCGGGAATGGTTTTGAGATCTTGTACTGAGCTGAAGAAAATAAAGCGAGTTTGTTAGAATTTGATAATTAAGAACCATGTTCAAACCGCCCAAATTTCTTCGTTAGCTTTGATATATGAAAACTGTACGCGCCTTAAATGCATTCAAACAGAAATTAAAATCCTAGCAAAGCTAACAAAGTCATGGCCGAAAAAAAAAATTTCTTTGCCGTATATATCACRGCATTTTGCTCGAGTGCTGGGATGATTTACATATTTTGCTTGCCCTTCCATTTTTGCGATCATCGTGGCGCGAACTTAAACAAAGCMTTTAATCAATGAAGCAAAAGATTCCCGGCAACTCAGAACTTCGTTGTAGACTTAACTACTTGAAATTGTTTTTGTTTTACTAACAAAAACAGCTATTACTGAAAGCTGGAGTTATTGGGCGAACAGAGAGACCACATAAGGTATTGCTTGGTCCTGTAAATTCAGTTATACTTACCATTTCGCGCAGTTCTTTGGTTTTTGATGAACTCTACTGCAAATTCTAAGATTTCTGCCTTATCCATACGCACACAGCTTTTTTCGTTATACATTTGAGGATCCTGAAAAACATTAATAAAGATTACATCAGATACATAGTGGTCATAAGTATACACATTGTAATACGTTAGAGGGAAGACGTGAAACTGGCTTATAAAATGTGTTATGAAGTTGCGAGCTTGGAGTTATAGTTTGTAAAAATCCCCAACTCCTTTTTCTAGAAAGACTGCTTCAATTGTTTGCGTAAAGGATGGCTTTTTTTAAGAAGGTTAATGAATCCTATCTCCTTCAGTTTGAAGTAGTTTAGCAAGACGCAACAGAAATAGTGTTATGTAACGTAATTGCATTTACGTCGTTAATTTGACTAGTCGCAGATATTTGGAATGATAAAAGGTTTTAGAAGAAAATATAGCAAAAAGTTTCACTTACATCGTGGTACAGTGATGATAAAATAAGGTCTTTTATTTCTTCTAGACGCTGGTTGATTCTTGCTCGTCTTTGCCGTTCAATCATTGGCTTTGTGGATTTCCCTGACTAAAACCAAAGAAATCAAAGATAAGAAATCGTGGAAATCAAAGAATAAAAATAATCGGCTAAGAGGAACATTAACGGAACAAAATATTTACCTTAACTCCAGTTTTCAAGGTATTTTCGGTCATAGTGATGTAAAAMTRAGATATTCTTGAAAKGGTATCKTTGRAAGAGGTTGCAACTTTGTAAAATGCCAGATTGCAGAATGGCAAGCATGCAATCATAGAGATCTTTTATAGCGAAATTTGGTTAACAAAGAAGTGCTTACACAAAGGAGSATGCAGCTGCAATGCAAGTACCACACAATAGAGAACAAAAGAGACTGCACGCGAATGCAACCAGCAATAATGAGTGACTGCAAGTTCTATTATCTTTACAACAACAATGCACCTGCAATTCGGATTGCAATTATGCACATAATGCCCTTTGCGGCGAGTGCAAGTAATTGAACGTCAATCATTTTCGCACTGTCATAGAAATTGAAGAGAAAAAAACGCAAGTAACTCTAGGGTTTCTTAGATAATGATAAGTTAATTCTTATTAGGTTTGGGTTAAATTTCTTTTYATCTACAGGTACAGCTAGTACCTAACCTTTTTCATTTACATTTGTGGGATTAACGGCATTCGCGATATAATTGCATGTCCGAACACGTGACTGATCTCTAAGATTGCGTGCACGCGATAACATGCAAGAATCCGTGGACAATTAAAAGCGCGCGTTTTGAGGCAAGAGAACTTTCCAGAAGAGAGAGTTTCAGAAAACGGTTTCTTATGAATTTAAAATTATCTCACTCGTACCTTTACTGTTAAAGTTACTAGAATACTATACTGAAACACTTCTACCGTCAGATAAAGCATTTAGATTCTGAGGGAAAATGTTGGAAACTAACGGTAAACTAGTGTGAGCTGCGTCGGTGTTTCTAAAGAAACAGTTATGTAAAAAGATAAATTTAACACCGTAAAAAAGTAGGTGAAACAACTTACTGACGTTTCGGACGTCCGACCATAGTTAGTAACTATGGTAGTAACTTACTAACTATGGTCCGACGAAGGATTAACGTCCGAAACGTCATTAAGTTGTACCTACTCTTTTACGGTGTTAAATTWGATTTACGTATACGTGGCAGTGTTTATAGTCGTTTTGACCACGGCTCTAGTCGACGTATACTTAGTTCTTAGAATACCAGTTATTCAAGCTCTTTACGTGCTCGTTCTTTATARCACAAGTGTTTTTGTTACGTAAACGCAAAGACACATCAATAGACTTCCACTGTATCTTAATTAAAATTGAATAAGATAATTAACAGACACTCGCTGGACAGTACAACCACCTGCTACAAACACACGGATTCTATAGCTCCTTACGTTTTTCTAACGTAAATTCAACTAAAAGATGCTGTGAAAAACTAAATTTTTGACTTAAATATACGAAACGGAATCATTTGTTCCTTTTTTTTGGTGTGAAATAGTGTTTGAACTTGTCCCTTAAGAATATAATGAACTTCAATAAAGTATCTTGCGTGTTTCTAAGGGTATTCATGTCTTTTCGCGTGTGTTTGGCTTTGAAAAGCCAAATTTGACTTATGCAGTTATTTTCGCACGAGATAAATCCAAGCAAACTACCTTATTGTAATCGAAATGATCTTAAAAAGTGTCAGAAAGCCTAGCTCTGTAGCACTAGTGTAAAGGCACCTTTCATAATTATTATTTCATGTTGACTGTATTTACGCGTGATCTCTCAAAACGTTACTATCGCTGGCGAGTTCTTTTTGACTAATACAAAAACTGCAAAAATTATCATCCGTGGAGCTGCAATATGCATGTAGGCGGAATACTAATGAATCCGTGTCTAAGTCGAAATGTCGGAGAGCCGTCTTTGAAGAGGAAGGAACAATAGAACATAACTGACAAGCTCTTTGATGTCTTTTGAAGACGCGCTGCCCCTAAAGTCACTTGGGAATTTCAGTGCTTAGAACTGCAGTCGTTGACTGATTGCTCATATGCGAGCAATGCATGTAAGATAATATAATATATTAGAATGCTCATTCTTTGTTATTTTTTAATTAAGACAATAAAGTTGGGCTTAGACTTATTAGTTCATGCTCGAGAATAACTTTAGTGGAATACAGCGTTTTCTTCCGTCTTAATTGCAACGCGCGAGGACGCTCTTCCTAAAATGCACCAGACAACTATTCTCTAGAGTATAGCACAAAAACTTAGTTGCTCCTTCTGTGTTGTGAATTTTGATTGGGAATCTTTTTCAATTCATGATTGTTTTATATAGCAGGCAAATACTTTGGATTAAAAAACACTGCAAATTAAGGCAAAGCAAACAAAAGGCGTGTGTTTTTTTATAATAACACAGTTTAATTTTGCTAATGCTAACAGAGTTGTCTAATTTGTGCTAATACAAGGATCGTGACGTTTTCTTTCTCGTGATCCCGTTTTTTGACCGAAATTTTAATCCCTGATCCAACAAAATTTGATCCCTGTTCCCAAAAAAATTCAGTGACTTTACGCATTTATATTTGCAAATTATTCAGGCCGAGCCCAGTGCTTTTGATCCCGAGACACCAGAGCAAAAATTCTGATCCCTGATGCGATTTACTACACCGATCCACCGGGACCATGTATACGCATCACCTATATGTGTATACCCTGCAAGCGAGGAATTTTCCACCCCTTTCTACAGAGAAAAGGAATAAATACTATATTTTTTTCCTTTTCGTCGTAGAAGGGGGTGGAAATATCATCGGCTCGCAAGGTATTCCCTGGAAAAAATCGCGCGCTTTAAAGGTTGTAAATTTGATGTAAATATGATGTAAGTGTCCAAAATTCTGTAAATTTGATGTAAATGATTTCCATTAAAATTTACAGAATTTTGGACACTTACATCATGTTTATATCAAATTTACAACATTTAAAGCGCGCGATTTTTTCCAGTGAATTAATGACTGAGTAACAAAGTAGTAGTAGCTTGTAAGCTTCTGCGATGTTTCCAGTGTTTCCAATCAATTTTGATGATAAATTGTGTACTCATTTAATCTCTGATGAAGTTGCTGGAAATAACATGAAAATATGTGGCTGTGGATAATGTTATTTAGCTACTTAGCGTAACTGAACAAAACCTGATTTTAGTCTACAAACAATAAGATATTAGTAACAATTTGATTAATTTGAAATGTTTGTTCAACTCCTTGTATATTTGCTCAAAAAGATTAAATAATTTAATCTATATTATTGCTATTTGAGTTTATAATTCCCTTAATTATTGCTGGTATTTACATAGGTTCTGATTCAAAATCGTATGGCAAACAATAACCTAATTGCAACCAGTTATGTAAGCAATTGACCAATCACTATCGAGCATGCATTAGCCCATGTTCAACATTACATTTATGCCAATCTGAATCGCTCTTTCAAAGATCTTGACCATCAAAATGATGAAAGTTGTACTAGCTTGCTTTGTAGCTGCGCTTCTACATCCTACGGTTGGTAAGTATGATACATAATGATGATAATCAGATAAAAGTGTTGTCTACTTTAAAAAGGATTTTCAAATGAAAATTAAAAATTAATTAAGTACTTTTACTTGAATTGAGCAAGGAGAGATCTCAGTGCATATCAACCTATAATCCTTTCAAAGTTCTTTCCTAGAAAACGCGCACCGGAAAATATATATAACTGTACTTTTTTGACTATGTTAGTAACTGATAACTCGGAACGGCAGAGTTGCGTTACTAGTATTATAAACCCTCTTCTTCCCATTACATTGTCTCTTAATGCTTAACGTTTTTCTTGCGTTTCTGTAATCGTCGTTTTATTTTGCTCGCCACCAATGGATTGAAAAACAATATAAAACGTTACGAAAACACATGAGTGCGGAGTGGCCTGTGATCGCCCCCCTTCCTTGCCTGTGCATGCGATAGCCAGATGCCTCTTTCGTATATATAGGTAACAACTGCATCTCAATCATTTTAATTCTTTAATCATCATTTCAGTGGATGCAAAATGGACTAAAATTAGTCACTTTCCAATCTGTTTCGAGGGACGAAACAACAAACCSGGTCAATTCATGTACACGGGTTCCARTGAAATCATCGTAGGAGCGATGAAACTCGAGTGGCAGTCGGGATCCATTCGGTGTGTGTCGGACCAGGCTTACGACAGTCGATGGGGCTGTCACCATCACTCGTCCTATCGTAGCTATCCATTCAATGTGGTCGTCACCGACGGGAAAGATCAACTGATCTATCCACTGAAGCAATTTATCAAGACATCGGGTTTATGGTAAGTGTGGATTCCCTACAGATAACCAGACACACTGCGCAAAGTCAATGCCTATGACGCCTGACAAAATAATTTCTGATTCTCTGTGAGCTAATTCTATATAACGTAAATAATTGAATGGTGAAATATTCCTGTATTTCAGTGTTCCGTCTTTGAATCTTATAATATGCTAATGAAAATGACGTCAAAARTGTTTTCATGAACGCCATCTGGGAATATGATTATTCCCTACTTTGCTTACGATAAATTTAATGTCAATGAAACCATTTTTGAGCGACTCCTTCAAAGTTCGTATATCTAATGAAGCTTCTTCGACGTCATTTTCATTAACATATTGTAAGATTGAACCTTCATGACTCAAAGAAAACTGAAATGTAGGAATATTTCGCCGTTCAATTATTCAGTACTTTATATATAATCAGTTCACAGATAATCAGGAATTATTGTGTCAGGCGTCATAGGCACTAGAGCCAGAAAGTTTTAGATGCATGGATGTCTTTTCGGAAACTGCGCGAGTTTTTGACGTCGTTATTCTCTTGCGCAAAGTTAAAAATTCCATTTATCTTTTAGGTATGTTCAGCCAGCACAAGATGACAAAGAATCYAAGTCTCTTGTCTTTACTAACTTTGCAACCCCGCTCGTTCTTCAAAGAATGATGCAGCTCAAAATCTGGTACGGAGAAGACCTCAGGAATTCAGCAGAGAGCGACAACCAAGGCCGCGTTTGYGTCAATATACACGCTTTTGTCCTGAACAATCCCTCCAATGCYATCTCAGGTGGAGGGTCTGGTGGCTCAGGCGGGTCAGCGGCTAACTCAGCGGCGGTTAAGTTGTTGGCTAGTTTGAAGTCGTCCTTCACGCAACTTTTGAAGACTTAGMTTGTCTTTGAAAGCGTCTGAATAAAATGGCTTGAAGAAATTATGATTTAATTTTTACTCTCCTTGTTGTTATGTAACGTGTTGTATTGAGTTAACGTCTCATGCGCGTCCCACTCCGCCAGGATGAAATGAAAGGGAGGGAAAAAGAGTTGCATGAAATACATTAGTAAATGAGGGGAAAACATTGATTTAGCGATGAGAAAAAAGTTAGTGAAAAATAGAAATGGGCCGCACCATGGATGATAAAAACTTTGGTTTCTTGTCGCACGTAGCTTGCAGACCAAATTCGGCTCCCGCTCAAAGTCTTCAATGGACTAAATGAGCRGTAGTTTTCAAATGTATAAAATRAAAATCCCCAAAACAGTATCGAAGTATGGAAAGACTATTCTAACTTTATTAACRAYCTAAAAAAAATTTCGATTTTTGTGTGTAATGATYTTTTKKGTGATTTTCTGTGGGTTGAATATAGTTAGTATATATAAGCATGGATATAACCCTGTCGATCCCGTACAAAAACTTTCGATCTCATGTCCAAAAGACACAGAATAGGAATAATTTTTGTCCAAGAAACCGTGACGCATTTGAAGTAGGTTGTGCTTCGGCCGCGCTAACATTTGAAAACCCCATAATTCAACGCGGTCTAAAGCTAGAACCCAGTTCACCTCGTCAACTTGCTCTTAGAACGAGCAAATAAAAACTCAAGGAGTTTGTTTTGGGAATTTCGACCTTATTTTCTGAGCATCCATCATTTTCCTAGGTTTTCAAGGCATTTTTAATTAGTGAATCAAATCTAATGAGGCCARTTTTGCTGCTGAGCGGCTTTCTATATAACTTTTAGGCTTTAGGTAACTTTTAATATTTAGCCAAGACGACTTGGAAAGGCCGAAAATATGCATAGAAATCTGTATCCAGCCACGGCTCCAAAGATTGTCAATGCGCCAGTCGTTATCGTAATGGTTGGTCTACCAGCTCGTGGAAAGAGCTACATCTCGAGGAAACTTGCTAGATATCTAAACTGGATTGGAGTTAGCACAAAGGGTAAGCTAAGTTCCAGGTCGAATTTGAAAATGACTGAATCTGAGCTCCCATATTTAAAATATTTAAACCCCCCATATTTGTGTAATCTTATTTGAGAACCTTATTATATTACTTATTACTCCCAAATTAATAAATGAGTTTGTTAACTGAATTCATTTGCATAGAGTGCACGTCACATAAGCATGAAACAATTCTTAATATGTATTGCTAAATAAGATTTAGTTATCAACTAACTAAGAATTCAACAAAGCATAAACACAATGCCAATTATTTAAATTCCTTTGTAGCATTGTTCTCAATTCTTAGTTAGTTGATAACTAAATCTTATTTAGCACTGCATAGTTAAGAATTGTTTCATGCTTATGTGACTTGCACTCTAATTGTCAGCTGTTTCAATGCGACGTTGTGCTTAGTAGAACTTCTTTCTGTAATTGTTTTGAAGTTGAAAATGAAAATGAAAATATTTGAAGTATTTAGTGCCATATAGCTTCCTTCTCAGGCAAAGTTCAGCTTGTTTTGCCTTTCCTATATTGTGGAGGAGGCTAGTGTGCTTCACAATTTTCTGTTGGGGCAGAATGTGGTGTGGGACAGCACACATTTTAGATGACGCAGGGAACTACATAGGGGCTAAGTGGACAAGAGATATTACGCGGAGCACAGAGATATGTGATGTATAAATACAATAATTATTCAATGCTTTTGCTATTTTCAGTATTCAGTCTGGGTGACTATCGCCGTAATATGATGGAAGTATCRCAGTTTGACCACTCATTCTTCGATCCTAATAACCCAAATGGAATGTTAATTAGAGAGTAAGTCAACATGCTTTATAAAAACATTCATTAAGCACAAAAACATTGTTTATGTTGTCAAATTTGATACACTTTGTGTCATCTGGTATTTTGTTTTCATAGACAATGCGCTGAGCGTATTTTAAATGACGTGGTTAAGTGGCTGGAAGGCAAGAAAAAAGTTGCCGTGAGTATAGTATTGATGCATGCTGGTAGATTCAAATAGCACAACATTCATCATAATTCATAGCTCAAATGTCACTCAATATGAGCAAGGTGTGTCATTGAATAGTCTCCTCGCAGCCGTGTTTAGCTATAGTTTCGGTYACGCGTCATGCAACCTCTTGTTGTGACCGACACGTGACCGAAACTAAACACGGCTGCGAGGAGACTTATCATTGAAGTGAGCAATCAAATGTCTCTTTTTAAAATATCTAAATAAATCTATTATTTTTCAGATATTTGATGCCACTAACTCATCTCGTAAACGAAGACAACACATTGTTGAACACTGCGCAAAACATGAATGCAAGGTAACGCAATGTTTTCGAGGATCCTTCCCTGGTAACTCTTATTTTTCTCTTTTGGGCTTCCTTTGTAACAGATATGTTGATAGTTAGGGACTAGAAATGTTTCCATGGGGATACCCCTCTAGAGTGAAGCTTTTGTTACATATTTCAAGAACATGTAGCACTGCAATTAAATAATTATTCRAATATTATTATTAATTGTTATTAATAAATATCTTTCAAGGTTATGTTTATTGAGTCTGTAGTAGAYGACCCAGCTATAGTCAGAGCCAATGTTATGGTAAGCAAATAGTATGGTCATCAAAGATGAAGAAGTTGAATCAATCTATGATCTTATGTTTTTATTCTTTTGGCTCTTTGTAGGCTGTGAAGATAAGCTCGCCAGATTATGCTGGTGTTGAGCCTGAGCAAGCATGTGAAGATTTTCTTGCAAGAATTGAGCATTACAAACAAGCTTACGAACCTCTTTGTATGGCACAAGATAAGTAAGTTTAACTTGTCGTTACGATGGAGGGTAGGTGCCTAGAGCAAAGAAAGCCACATTCAAAATACTAATTTAAATCATTAGCAATTGAGATTCTTTGTCAGTGGGTACATCATATGAAATGTTTTGTTCTCAGGCATATATCGTATATGAAAATCATCAATGGAGGAACTAATTTTGTGGTGAATCAACTGCATGGTATGTACAGCTCATYTGTCATATTATTTAATAAGTCTTTTAGTGTTCTATAGGATTAGGGTATTGATGACTTTCATAATGGCTGACACTAATTAGCATATTGCTAAATTCATAATGTTGACAAAAGAAAACACTGAGTGATAGATATCAAAAGCTAAAGATAAGTTCTGAAAGTTTCACTGAAAAATATTAAATCTTGAAGTTTAAGGGTTCGACAAGGTACAAAACACTATAGATAATGAGGTTACCAAGGCCTCAGCCAAAAATTCTATACAAATCCCTGTATTTTTATTCCTTTATAACTTAGTGTCRTTGAAGCAATTTAAAAAATCATTCAATAACTTTGTTTATTTTACAGGTTATTTAGAAAGCAGAATAGCATACTATTTAATGAATATCCAAATCACTCCAAAAGCTATTTATTTAACAAGGGTAAGTAATGGATAAATAGCATATGAATCACAATAACACTTTATAAAACATACAGTTTTACCTTTTATGAATAATCTCTTTCGCTTACCTAAATCCCAGCGACATCTTCAATTTAAGGTACTCATGCATTTGCATCAAAACGTGATAATCTAATCATTGATCGTGCAATGATAGTACCTGTGAATAATGATTCCTATAGTTTTGAAAGAAGGTTTCTATCATTGCACACTCAATGGTAATCAGTGGTAATGGTGCAATGATAGTACCTGTGAATAATAATGCCTATAGTTTTGAAAGAAGGTTTCTATCATTGCACACACAATGGTCGTCTCACTTTGAAATTGATGCAAAGGCATTGCTACCTTCCAAGATGGTGCAGGGAACTGTAAAGGGAGACCATTGATATTTTAAATGAATTTAACACAAGGAATATTATTATTTATGTTATAGCATGGAGAAAGTGCCTACAACCTCAAAGGAAGAATAGGTGGAGACTCAGACCTCTCACCAAGRGGATATGAAGTAAGAAGTATAGCCTGCAGATCTTTGGGAGGGTGGGGTTAGGAGAAAATGGGTAGTACAGTTGCTGGGGTGTATCATCTTTTAGTATAAACAATTTCAAAGATATGCATTAGTTATAGCTTCATGACAAACACTTTTTGTTGGTGATAATTTGAATTATTTTTCTAGTATGCAAGGAAATTAAGTGAATTTATGAAAAGTCAAAATCTTGATGACCTCAAGGTAATGTTTAGATGATACACCTACTTGCAGAAACATTGTCATAGAAAATAGAACATTCGAATTTAGTAAAAAGGAATAAATTAAAACAAAACAAAAGAAAGCTTTCAGCCTCAGTGACCTTCTTTTGTCTTTATAATTTATTCCTTTTTACTAAAATACAAATGTCCTATTTTTTTATGACAACGTTTTCGCAAGTAGGTGTATACATGTCTACAACTCCTAAACTAATGAAGTTACAATGCATGACTCTTTAAGATTATTTCCAGGAAGGATACCAAAGGACTAGTGGTGTTTGTTATTATTTTAGGTCTGGACAAGTGAATACAAAAGGACCATACAGACAGCTGAGAATTTGCAAGACTTGCCSCAAGAACGATGGACTGCACTTAATGAAATAGATGCGGTAAGGACTGTACTATTACACAGAATATAATACATATTTGTAGAAATATCACATGCACTGTGATTGGTTTATTAGCAGGGCTTTAATGCATCTCTTTGCTATACAGATTTGATTATAACACAAGGTGTCATTGGTCAATAAGTCTCAATATTCCATGACTTTACTCAAAGACATTTTATTTCATATAATATTTCACTGTTTTTCATGAATTTTTATTTTTACAATATTGTACAGGGCGTGTGTGAAGGGATGACATATGAAGAAATCCAGGAAAAATACCCAGAAGATTTTGCAAGACGAGATGAGGATAAGTTTCATTATCGATACTCAAGAGGAGAGGTAAAACAGCTAACTGTAGTTAGCTTAATGACCGACTGACTGACTAACGAAGTGATTGACTGACTGACCAAGTGATTGACTTACTCACTAAATTCCTTGAGGTGCAAACAACAACAAAACAACCCAATTWTCATTATATTACATTATGAAGTACACATCTTAAATTATTTAAATATGTGCTTAACATTCTTCTTTCAACAGTCTTATGAAGATTTAGTAGCACGTCTTGAGCCAGTTATTATGGTAAGAGAAAACCCTTGTCCTTGAGCGACCACTCTAGTAAGCGACCATCTCCMGTAAGGACCACCTTTTAAATTTTGTTTTGTTCAGTTTCCCACGTAAAAAAAAACTTTCTTGTAAGCGACCATCTCTTATAATCGACCACTTTTTCCTGATCCYAAGGTGGTCACTTACGAGAGAGTTGACTGTAATTTGAAGGATTCCTTAATGTAGTTGAATCTGGATTCAGGGTAATCATTGTTTTTTGTTTCAGGAACTTGAACGGCAGCAAAATGTGTTGGTTATTTGTCATCAGGTATGAAAAAATATTGTACACAATCGTACATATTATAATTGATAAATAATGAATAATAATGAGCTCAGTGTTCAGGAAAAAATAGCTTTGTTTTATTTTTCAGTTCAAACTGATATTGTTGTATGAAATTTCTCTAGAAAAAAAAACTAGAAAAAATAACCCTGTGATAATATTTATCATTGCATCATGTTTGTGTGGTATGTAGGCTGTTGCTCGCTGTTTACTGGCATACTTCCTGGACAAGAATTACGAACAACTGCCTTATATCAAAGTTCCATTGCATAGTGTTCTAAAACTGACTAGTGTGGGCTATGGTGAGTATGGTTCGCTGTCATTCTATATTCAAGGACTGCTTCACAATTTTAAAAACATACTCATCCATCTGTTTTTAATAATTACATTTGTTTTCGTAGGATGTCAAGTTGAAAAGTTTGACCTCAACATTCCTGCAGTAAATACACACAGATCAAAACCCGAGGTAAAGTTATGATGGGGATGATAATGATGATGATGATGATAGTGACAATGATGATCATGGTGATGATGATGATGGTGATAGTGATGGTGATGATGATGATAATAACGACTCTAAAAGATACTTAGCACACTAATTCTAATGCTCCTTGAAACCGTTAACTCATAAGGATACTTTCTTGTAATTGTGCTTTTCAGGATGTTTCTGTTACAAGGGATTCGCAGCATGCTCTGAATACGGTCCCTGAGCATGAATAGTCCCTGACACATTCTAGCACCTCTTCAATGACGTCCCGGTACATAATCACATGATGCCCCTTAGACAAGTACTTCAAATTGTGTATAGAGTGATGACCTTTTTAATTATGTCCCTTGTTATGTCAGGAGCTCAAGAGCTCTTAGTGCTATGATTTCAAGCACATGTAGGAAATTGTTCATGTGTTTATTTTGAGCACCGATTGAATATTGTCCCTATATGGAGACAAGTATTTTGATTCAGAAAAGCATTTTCTTACCTCGGAAAACGCGGCTAAGCAAATGTATTCAGATATCTCGTATTTCTTTTTTTCGAGATGGAAAAGCTGAGCTTTTTCCTTGTCTCATAACATTTCAGCAATATTTATTGATAGTTTTTAGTTAGTTATGGGGAGAAATAATCAATATTATTTTCATCATTAATTTGTTTTTCATCAATTTTGTTTTTAAAGACGTTTTTTAAGAAGGTAAACGAGGTGTTTTCAAAGAGCTTGCAAAAAGCAAACTATAGGACAGGTCCTTTTGGTTTAACTCCTTGAAATGTTGTGGGATGTAACAAAATTGTTTAAACATCACTTGAAATATAGGAAAAAATGGTAAAAAGTTGAAAATACTCCTTGGAAAATACAAAAGTACTACTCCTTTATGTTTAGGCACAAAATTAATGCACCAAAAATGGGAGTATTATAAAAGAAAATGATCAAAAGAAGCGCGCAATTAATAGGAAAAAAAGTGTATGTAAAATAACAATTCTCTTCCATTGAGAAAAAATCTAATCCATGGACGAATAAAGTAAACATATTGAAGAATAAACTGTCCAAATATCACGAAAGACAAACATCAATTAGTCATGCTAGGGGAATCTAAGGATCAAATAGAAGAAAGTGGAGTTGATGGTTTTGGTCCTGTATCACTCAGTCATCGAAGTGTTTTTGCAGGGTCGTAACAAGATTTACATAGTTGCATTCATTAGATTGGACAAAATCTTTGTTAGAAGGGGGCCTTGCCTATCTCTCCCTACGACAGTAGTTCTCAGTGAACGTCATGAAAAAAAGTGGGCAAACACGTTTTTAATAGCAAGAAAATCATTTGTTTTTCAAATCATCTTTATTTTGTCCTTGGTCGGTACAACAGACTGACAATGATTACACTGGTCTTATCTTCATCTCAGCTCTCTTAGCGGAATAGTAATATGACTTCTTCCAGTTAGACCAGTTCACACCTTCATCCTTGAACCTGTGCTTGCCGTGGTGATACACACCATTAAGGTTGGACCGGTTGCAGGCATTGTACCACCAGGCACCTTTGCGT